AAATCTGATTTTACATGAAGTTCTCACAATTTTTCTATAAATTGTTGCTGGTTTGCCTGTCACCTCAATAAATTTTGAACTGATTTTTTTTCAGTGTAATTTATCTCAGGGGCCATCCTCTTTCTACTGGATGAAGGTTTATAAAATTAAAAGCATAAGCAAACTGAACTTCCAAGAAGTGGGCATTCTGATTCTTCAAGCAAGATAGAAACCCTTTGAGATTCTGTCTTTAGAATGGCCAGAAGCACCAAACCAGTTTTAGTATTTTCAAATAAGCTGCACAGTTCTAAAATAATTACAAAACCAAGGCAATTATTAGAGACTTTATTGAATTTGGAAACCCTGTAACACAAAATGGAGCGACTCATTTATAAGTTGCTGGGTGGTAAAATACAATTAAGAAACTAAACAAATTAAATATTCTATGATTAAACTGATGCAGATTTGAACGGAAGAATTGGTATGCAACAAGAATTTCAGTGTAAAAAAAATATAAAATTTACATTATATTTGATGAAAACCCAGTATAAGACATTTCATTGATCATGTATTACTCCAGTTCTCAATTATTAAAATTGTTGGACATGTCATGATCAGATTTGATTATTTCATATACGGTGGTGATATTATGAAGCCAGGAATTTTGCAGAATGCTTTATAATAGATTGAAACAAGTTCTACAGCTGGAACTTCCTCTTCAGCCAGTCACTTAAAAAAAGTAAGTATTATTAAACCTTCCATTCCTACAAATTGAACTGGCCCTGCATATGGTTATAGCTGCAAGGACGCTCTAGAAATCATATTGAAAGGCACAGGCAGCTCTTGCAGCTAGTCCTTATTTAATGTACACTCAGCGATTGTTCAAAGTTACATCAGCTGTGAACAAGGGGTAATTACGATGCAGAACAAGATCAGTGCAAGGCAACATTTTTAGTATTTTAGTGTTTATATTTTTATTTGGCATGTACTTGTATTGAGGAATTGTTAATTCATAATGGTGGTCTGGTTTCCATTGATAACATAGCAAAATATACAGCTATAAAAAATATCTTGTCACTGAACGTTTAATGCACTCATTAATGACACAATAGCTCAGGGGTGAAACTGCTGGCTTGCGGGCTGGATTTCCCCACCAGGAAACCGTGCCCACCCCATTTCCAGCAACGGGGAAAAAGCTCTGATACGCTGCGCGATGTCATGTGACTTCATGAGTTTGACATGTCTGCAATAGCTGGTAGGACTAGAGTCCTGGGCATCCAGGGAGTTTCCTGCAGCTTCATCCTGGCTGCTTTTCCCAGGATCAATAGCTGCTTATGTCAAACAGACGCCAATGGGATAATTGATGTCCATTATCAGAAAGCTAGCAAAAGGACCAACCCAAACCCCCTGAAGGAAATCTCATCAAATTCCCAAATTAATGGTCATCAAGAGTCTAATACAAACAATGCCAATGATAGTTTCCAAAGTTCAATAGCAAGATTGATAGCAATGGTACCACACACACATATACAAACAGGAAGAGCTTCAGAAGGAAATTGACAGAAACATAGTAGTTAGGCAAATACTTCTCCCATAGAGCTGAGGGCGAAAAAGGAGGGGACCATTTTTTTAGACTTGTATGAGCAACTTGGCCTCCTCCATCTCTTGCAAAGAGGAGAAAAAGAATCTGCACATGCCCAGAAACTCTTTCCTGGTATTACAAAACTCTATAGGACGTCTATGGAGGTTCTCAGTCATCAAGTCATAATTATCCCAAATGTGCTTTTTCATGAGGTAACTGGATTTTCTTGTTTTTCTTTGAAGACGTTTCGCTTCTCATCCAAGAAGCTTCTTCAGCTCTGACTGGATGGTGGGGAATGGAAGGATTTATATTCCTTGAAGACAGTTGTTGAGGCCACCTGAAGGTTTATCTGTGACCTCAGGGTTACCTAAGTAGTGCAAATGGGTGTGGAGCCCTTTTTGGAACTGTTGAAAGGACTGTGTTGTAGACTGGAGATAGATGATGTCGTATCCCTCCCCCTCTGTTGAGAGAGGGCTGTTCAATTTTGACATAGATGGCCTCTTTGACCCCTCTTTCAAACCAGCGGTCCTCTCTGTCCAAAATGTGGACTTTTCTGTCTTCGAAAGAGTGGCCTTTGTCTTTCAAATGCAGATGGACTGCTGAATCTTGTCCTGATGGGGTTTGTTCTCCTATGTTTTGCCATGCGTTTATGAAGTGGTTGTTTTGTTTTCCCAGGGTACAGATCTGCACATGGCTCACTGCATTCTACTGAATATACCATATTGCTCAGTTTGTGTCTGGGTGTTTTATCCTTGGGGTGGACAAGCTTCTGCCTTAGTATATTCTTGGGTTTGAAGTGTGCACGTATGTTGCGCTGGCTGAAGATCCTCCTGTGCTTTTCCGATATTCCTGTAATCTATGGAATGACGTTGCTTCATTTATTGTTTTCTTTATCTGACTATTTAAAATTTAAAAACAATTTAACTTTCAACCTCCTCTATTTTGCCACAGAATGGTAAGCCTTACATCCTAAGTGCTTAAATATGGAAGGGCTTTTGTGGTCCTTATTTGTGTGATACTCTCTTCCCCAAAGCATTGGGGAAGAGCCAATGCTTTGCCAAAAGTATAAGCTCTTTGGGAAAGACATTGCATAATTTGTCCAGGGAGGAAACATCTCCAGGAAAGAAAGAGGCCCTTCATCTGAGCTTGAAGTGGGGATGGCAATAGATTTCCACCTAAACCTATAAGCACACAGAGATTTTTTGGAAGTTTTGCTTGGAGATTCTCAAGGCCTTGACCCTCATACAGGGAGCATACTCAATACCTAGATGAAATAACTTCAGAGGCCCTTTTCCTATCCTGCTTGGGAACTTCCAATGCATAGTTCCTGGGAAAGATTTACATTCAGCAGTTTGGCCAATCCCTATGATTTCATATTGACAAACTCTCCTGGCTTTTTACTATGCTGAAATGCTTTGTAGAGTTCAACCTCTCAGACTGTCTGTGCTTCACTATTCTCTTTTCTATGATTTACCATATAGCCATGGAGACATTTAACACTCACAAGAATTTATTGGAATTTGTAAAATGAGGAACGGTAAATAATCTTATATATTCTTATATACATACAGTAACTCTGTGGGGGTTTTCACATTATTACTGTCAATTTGTCATATCTGTGTTGTAATGTACAATTCTGATCAATAGAGTAACAAGTTTTGTTTTAAGAGACTATAGAAAAAGACATACGATCCAGCTTTGAAAGTTAGCATTATCATTGCTGTGCTTGAGTAACAATCTCTCTCAATCTCATTCTCTCTCATTTTTGCAAACTCACCCGTCCATCAGGATTCGTAGCAGTTGTATTTCTTGCTTTTGTGATGTACTGCAGCATTATTTTATTTTATTTCCATTTCTATGGTTTAAAAAGCTGATTTCAACACAAGTCTGACATGAACAAAACATTTAGAAGGACATTTATGCCATGGTTGCTGATATGAGATTTCAAAATAGGGAAAACCAAATTAGGGAAAGCCAAATGAGCAAAGAGTCAAATAAAGGAGTGATGTTTCTAAGAGTTAGAATGCAATGTTGGCAAACAGTCTGCAGTCAGTGGAAATCCAAAGGGAGAATCAGTGAAATTGGGTAGAAACATCAATAGCTAAGCAGCCAATCAGATAATGAGATATTATAAGTATGTCAGAAAGGGCTGATCCGCATGGCCAGATAGGCCAGTCAGGTGTTAGGATCCCAAACATTTCCAGAGGGAAGGATGAGATGACATTATCCTGCATTCATCCCCAGATTACTGCCAGTGTCAGCTCCGCTCCTGTCTCCCTGCTCCAAGACGACCAAAGTCCTTTCTGGCTTCTTCCAACTCCAGCAGTGCTTCCCACTTTGCTTGTTCTGTTTTTCTTCCATCTGGGCAACCAACCATATTGTGAAGTTTGCAGATGATACAACAGTAGTGGGCCTTATTCAAGATGACAATGAGGGTGCTTACTGCAAGGAAGTTGAGGGTTTGATGAACTGGTGTAAGAAACTGGTGTAAAGAAAACAGCCTAGTTTTAAACATTGGAAAAACCAAAGAGATCATTGTCGATTTACGAAAAGGCAGGCACAGCCACACTCCTCTGTGCATCAATGATTCACCTGTGGAGATGGTTACCAGCATCAAATTCCTGAGTGTTCAGCTAACGAGTAGGCTGGCTTGGTCACTCAACAGTGAGAAACTGGTAAAGCGGGCATAGCAGTGCCTGCATTTTTTGTGTCACATGAGAAAAGCACATCTTCCTTTCCCTGTCCTGACCACTTTCTACAGGGGGACGATCGAGCGCATCCTGTCATATAGCATCACAGTCTGGTTTGGAAGCATCACTGGTTCAGATAGGAAGGCGGTGCAGAGAGTGGTGAGAATGGCCGAAAAGATCATTGGCAGGCCCCTCCCTCCCATCCAGGACATAGCACAGAAGTGCTGCTTGAGCAGGGTCCGTAAGATTATCTGGGACACCAAATCTTCTTCATGACCTGTTTTCCTTGTTACCTTCTGGGAGGAGGCTTCGTGGTATCCGCAGCAGAACATCCAGATTCAGCCATAGTTTCATTCCATACAGCATTAACCTTGTGAACTCTCAAGCTTCCTCCTTCCATTATATATTCAAGATGGACAGTATTTAATATTTATTTGTTATGTACATGTAGGGGTGTGGGTCTATATATATGTTGTATATAGTATGTTTTAGGTGTGTGTCATGTATGTGTTTTACTTTGAGAGCGGGCAACTAAATTTCATTTTTGATGTGTGCCATTGTGCCCACAGTAAAATGACAATAAAGGTTATCTTATATGTTATGATGATGCCGAGTTGGGACATTTTGACATCTTTTT